GTGTGTGTGTGTGTGTGTGTGTGTGTGTGTGTGTGTGTGTGTGTGTGTGTGTGTGTGTGCCCTGCTGCTATCCAATTTTACTTTCCATGCAGTGTGCATCTAACACCTCTGGCACAAACACAGGGAAACGCATAAAAAAAGAACCACATGCTGTTCTGCAGGGGTTGAGAGTCAGCCAAAAGATTGTGGGATACTAAGGTTGCTAGAGATCAGGATTTGATCTTCTCTGTCATGCATGCTCATATAAGACCTTAAGTTATGAATTAACAGAAGAACTTCACATCTGCTATGAAGTAAACGCATGAAGAGAACAAATGAATGTGTCAGAAAAAGACATTTTTATTTGTTTTTCCCAAATCGTGGGCCTGCGCCATCAAGGTTATTCCAGCTTGCTTTCCTAAAAAAAATATCGGACTATTTCACATTTAGGATGGCAACCTTATTCTACTTTTAACTGCTATGGTTAAATAATACAAATGCTTTGGGAACTTACTTTCTCAGATGCTCATGCTCCTTTAGGAACAGCTCTGTTCTTCTGTTGTTGACCCCAGAACCGCTCTTGTATGTCCTAAAAAGGCAGGCAGATACACTCGTGAATAATACTTTTTTCTTTTTTTTTAAATGAATGGTAATTTTCAACATTTAGGCAATGTCAGATTTACTTGTGTGTCAAAATCAAGTTTTCAAAGTGTAGATAAGAAATAAATCTAAAATGACAGCCCAAGTTAACAGGCGACAGCCTTGATCCCAATTCTTGTCTCTGTAACTTTGCATACATCAGAATCAGAAGTCAATCAAAAAGGAGCAATCTGTAAGGCTGCCAATGTAATTTTCACAAGCAGATTGCTACAGGGTACCAAAGGCTGGCTAACTTTCAAAGTGAGGTGACAATCTGCGTTTTATCCTGCAGATCTCACTCTTCTTTGCAAGGACCACTAAAACACACAGCATATACAAGGAATATAAAAATGTAAAGGCCTTGTTCCTTAAACTGCACATTAGCAATGTGATAACAGCGTTAAAGGTGTTAATCGCTTTACTGGTATGGTAGCGCTTTACTAATTCACACAAACTGCTAATATTTGTAGCATATATGGCTATTGCATACAGTGATTATGTAATGATTAATTAATCAGAAAAGCCAGACAGAGAAGGTAAGCATTTTAAACTTTTTTTTTTTTAACGACTTGATTGTCTTTCATGGCTCTTTTTGTGTTTCTAACCCATTCTTTTTTTTTAACACTGCATCAAATAACTAATTTCCTTTTTGTATTTTCACACCAAGGATGCCACCCTTCGCAATAATAATAATTCTTCAGACTAAATATTGCGTTTCCATAAAACTATAAGCCATGATTGGCCAACTGCCCAAGTAGGTCTGAGTCTGAGAAACTGCAGGGACATTTAAAAATAATGATTCCTTAAATGTGTCATTTTTGTCAGATCTTTTGAATTAAAGCTGCTGCAGTGAACAAAGCAAAATTCAAAGAACTGTTTTCCTAGAGAGAAAAAAAAAAGGAGAAAAAGAGATTTTTTTTATGGTTAATGAAGAAACAGAAAAAGAACCGTGCTCTCCTCTACTGAGCAGTCAGAAGTGATGAATGGGCGTTGCACCACTCACAAAGTAAACACAGCAAACCCATTCTTTTCTGTTTGATGAATCTCTAGCTATCAGCAGCCCTGAACTGCTGACTCCCATGCCTTCTTCGTTTCTGGTCATTTAACACTGCCCCACCCTCTCGTCGAGCAGGGGAGGAGGAAGGCTATGAGCACATATAGTACACCCCAGAGTGACTGCCTTGAGCCCAATCTGACCACCCTAGCAACTGGGCTGATGCTTCTGTGGGACCAGAATTCTTTGTACTGACAGACCGATTCATCACTCCGGCGAGGCTTTTTAAAAGGGCACCAATGTAAATCATAGAAAACTGTCATTTTTGTTGCTGACATTTAAAAATCAAAGCAGGAGAAGAAGGGTTGTTACATCTCAGCTCAGCTCTGCAGCATGCTATTACTATGAATGTGGTGTGTGTGTGTGTGTGTGTGCTTCAGTAGTCTGTAAGCACAATGCAAGTTATTGATATGGTGTTTGATATATGCCTCACTGTTTCATTTGAGTGCTTGTATCAATTAGATAGTTTGGACTCCTTCTTGTTACCACATGGAAAACATATTCTGAAACGTGTGCTGGTCCATTTACTTCACAGCCAAGAGCTCTACTGCCCTCTGCCTGACAAAAGAGAAAATGCTTAGCTGCACCAGATATTCCATCACTGTATTAATGTCATGATATTTTACACATTTCTGTACTGACCCGAAAATTGTATTTTATAAAAGCATCTTGTAACTACGTTAGTGTTCAGATAGGCCAAGGCTTAAACTGTGCTGCCAAGAAGACAATGTAAAAACACAAAGTCCAGAATTCTGTGATCAGGAAATTGTTTTTGCTGTTTTCGACAACAGAATTTTGTCATATATTTTCAAGTCACATCTTATTGCTTTCTGTCTATTATTTGCCAGTATTGATACTTAGGATCATTCAGATAAGGGGTGGTCTCTTTAATTAAAAGTAATTTTCCGGTTGCTAGGCAATAAGTTGCCACATCATGCTAGAAAACTGTATGAAAATGCATCTTTTGCACTTAAAAGATCAGACAAAGGTGCTTTTAAAGTGGTGAAAAAGCAGAACAAACATTAAAGTGGAAAAAAAACCAAAATAAAAACAATTGGCCAAAAAAAAAAAAAAAAAAAAAAAAAAAAGCTCCACCGATATCCTATGTAATGAAGTGGCTCCTAAAATAAAGAGATACATTTGCGTCCTTAAAAAAATATTACTTTCAGTGATTTCAAATGTAATGAAAATCCTGATTAATACTTTATTAAGTAAAGATTCACACTATATTTGATAACCTCTCCCGTCCTCTGTTAAAACAGAGAGAATAAAATCATGCATTTGACTGCTCCTTTACTGCTGCTGCTGGTGGTTAAGGCATCATTTTCTAGCAGTGTCTGATTCACCAGAATATCTGTCATTTCATCGGTATTTTACCTTCTTCTTGTGCTGGACTCAAGACACACTCGAGGCTCCAATGACTTGATACAACATCTCGTGACACAAATTGGTATTACACAAAAGTCTGCTTAGTATCCTGTACCCTATCCTTAGTTTCATAATTTAAATGAAAAACTGCACCAAATGCTGTTTAATCTGTTGTTTTTTCACACTCAGGTCATTCTGGAAAAATGTAAACTATTTTAATTTATAGTAAGCTCCTTAAGAGCTTTATAAATTACTTAATGAATACTACATTTGTATATTTATACATAGTTAAGTATTCCTATTGAACATCTATGCCTGCCTGCAAGACGCCTCTGCATGAGAACTCTTCTCTTTGTACTCTAGATGGACAGGGAAGGATCAATAAGAATCCTGCAGTGCTCACTGTTTGCCATCATCAGTGCCTTCACAGATCAATAAGCCACTGCAAAAAGAAGACTCATGGTCTAGGAAGACCTTCGTTTCAATAAATTCCCTCAAACTGTGCAAATCTGAAGAGAGGATGCACTTCCTCAATGCAAGGCCAAAGTGAGCACGAATCTTCTATTTGTTCAAGAACATGGCAAATGGAAGTGAAGTTTCAATTATTCCTCTCAGGAATAAGGTCTACGACATAAGAGCAGTGCTTGACCTTTTTTATTGCTCAGCACCCTTTCAGATCAAAACACAAGAAAGCATGCGTGTGTAGGATCTTATCATTTACTATAATATAATAAACAACAACAACAATGACATTAATAAAAATAATAATTAATTAATTAATTAAAACATTCCCACACTGCTATAAAAGCTAAATGAAATTAGAAGGTGCTGTGGCTGAGTACTCACTCAATGTCTTTCCTGACAGACCCTAGAAGGTCTTCCCTTTCCCGGATGGCCAAAAAGTTGCCTTTGGTTTTGTGGAATTCATGTGTGTAGTCCTTCGAGGAAAATAAAGGTTTTTTTTTTTTTTAGGTTTTTTTTTTTAAAAAGGAATACAGGAAAGACAGAAGGCAAATGTGTAACACAAAACTGAACATTAAGGCTACGTTCACACTGCAGGTCTTAATGCTCAATTCCAATTTTTTGATCAAATCCGATTTTTTTTGTCTGCTTGTTCACACTACAAATAAAATGTGACAGCAAACGCGCTCTAGTGTGAACCCTCAAAGCGGCCGCATGCGCAAAAGAAGACGTCACACACAACGCGCTCTGTTTAGACCCAGACCAAACAGTATTGTTTGACTGATGGCCCTTAATATAAAGACTTGTTTCGGACTTTACGTTTCCCAATTTTGCTTTAAGTTATAAAGTTATTTTGTTATTTACATATGGCCTAATAATTATCCTTATTGCTGTTTTAGAGGAGCGGTGCTTCAAAGGATAGTTGCAGATTTCTGTCAGAATCTGCAGATTATACAGTACAAATAAAATGTTCACGTTTCTCCAACGTTGTCTTCCCAACAGTTTCACTAACATCTACACTGGATGGCCAGGAAGCGTTCACGATGTCTTCTCGGGCGCTTCTCCGGCGCTGATAATTGGCGTCTGTCTTGTGTCAGTGACGTAAAAGACGGATTTAATGCGACATGACCATTCAAACAGCAGTCGCTTTCTAAAACATCAGATATGTATCGGATTCAGTACCACATACGAAAGTGACCCAGATCAGATTTGAAAATATCGGATTTGTGCCGTTCACACTGTCATACCATGATCGGATATGGGTCGCATAGGGTCAAAAAAGTCAGATTTGATGCGCTTTCGCCTGCAGCGTGAACGTAGCCTAAGACTCAATATGTGCTTTAGAAAGTAGTTCTTGGGCTCTTCATTGAGTTCAGTAACTATAACTGAGAAGAAGTCGCTATGAAAGAAAATGATTCCAATTAAATAAAAATGTTTAAAAAAACTATAGAAAACAGATGAGCGACAGGAAAAAAGGAACAAGACAGCAAACCTGTAGGATGTCCCTGTGCCTCTGGAGCGTGTGCATGAGAGCAGCGTTGAGAGCAGCTGCGCCCGGAGAGTTGGTGTACTCCGCCATCTTGTCATTCACTGCAGTCAGCTGAGAGAGAAGGAAACAGAGTGGACGGATGGATAGACACGAAGGACGAGGCATATATCCATTTCTGTTCTTATTATATTCTTTTTGCCATCTTTTTCCACTGACCTGAGACAATTTACTTACTTTGGCTAGCAACTGTTCAATCTCCACTGACATGGTGTCAAACATCCTGTCCTGGGTAGAGTTGTTTAGCAGAGGTGTGGTGTCTGACCTGAAAGGAAAAATAAGATGGAAGAATATTAAGAATTTTTATTTAAAGCAGCTTATTTGTAATTGGTTTTTAACTCACATTAAAAAAGAATCTTGTACCGTTTTCTTGTGTTTAATGGACAAGAAATGTGCTTCATTTCATAGCAGAAATTACACATTCATCAAATAAAGAATTTAAAGCTGTTAGTAAAAAATAAATAACTGTAATCAAACAGAAGTAAGTAATCAAGTTTTTTTTTCTTGATTGGTAATGTTTCAAAAGCCTACTTGGTCTCAAAATCCTTAAGGTCTGCAATAAAGAAACATGTAGTTTTTGTGTTAGAATATTCCATTCAAGCTACTTTAGGGGTGGCTGTAGATTAGGAGAGCAGGTCATCCACTGATCTGAAGGTTGGTGGTTCAATCCCTGGCTGCTCCAGAATGTATGCAAAATATCCTTGAGCAAGATACTAAACAAAATTTGCTCTCCATTGCATCCATCAGAGTATAGGTGTGTGATTAGTAGACAGAAAGTAATTAGGCATAGGGAAAAGTGCTTGGTGTGTGGGTGAATGAGGCATGCTGTATAAAGCGCTTTGAGTGCTTTTGGAGACTTAACCTTTTTTTTTTTAATGATTAACAAATATGCATTTTAACAATTACAATTCAGGCTAGATATGAAAACTGAATGATGAATATAATTAAAAATAATAACATTTTGACTAGTAACCCATTTTCAACTCCAATAAAATAAAATAAAAAACATTAAGTTTAAGCTTTGGAACCAATCTTTGCTTATATCTTTATATCTTTTTACTATATCGTTGTTTTTAAGAATAATATAAAATATGTGATTAAATATGACAACAATAAAATACAATAAATACATCTTTACATTTGGTAAAGATTTATTGCTAGAAGAATATTAATTGTTTCAGCTTTTTAGTAGTTATTAACTCTGCAGTTGAGTGAGAAGCCTTAATCTTACGTGTCTCCTCGACGTCCATCTCTGGAGCTGCTGTAGCTGGTGCATAATTTACTGAAAGAGACCAACTTCAGATCAAGTTCGTTCTCCAACTGTCTGGCCTGCTTTCGCAGATCTGTAACAGAAGCACACAACCCAATAAAATACTTAAAAATAACTAAAACACCATCAATTAAGTATTGCCCCAGAGTAGATGATTGATTGATAGATAGAGAGATAGATGGTCCAGTCTTTTTTTTTTTTTTTTTTTGCCTGTCCCGTTTGGCTCTTTTGCCATCAGAATTGTTGTCTAAAGGCAAAGAAAGATGCCCAACGGATTTACTTTACCAAATTGACCATCCCAGCCTTGCCGTAATGGTCCATTTGATTCACCTTTTATTGTTTATTTTATTTTCACTTACTGAATACGGGACAGACTTGACTGGGGGAAAGAAGGGGAGAAAGAAAGAGGGAAAGAGAAACAGCTGAGAAGAGGGACGGGGGAGAAGGGCAAAAGACAAAAACCAACAGAATGGGCAGAGAAAAAAAATGCATATATCAATCACCTGGGTCACCTGCTGAGAAAGAAAAAAGAAAACAAGCAGAAGAGAACAAGAGTAATAGAATAAACAACATCACAATGATATATGGGAATATGACAGTAAATACTAAATATTAAACATTATTGTGCAGCACATAAGATCAACAGAACACAGTGTGCTTTGAGGTAGGAGCCAAAAAGGGTGTAGTTTGTGGGTGTGATCACCCGTGTGTACACCTGTGAGCATGGACGCGCTTGTTTTTTGTTTTTTTAAAAGGTTCCTTCATGTAATAATCTGCTAGAGGGTGTGGGGGGGCCACAGCCCCGTCCTCCAGGGCATGAAGCAGGTATGGAGGAGATCAAAACTCCAGACATCCAGAGGCCCCCAGAACACAAGAGACCAAGGAAGACCAACAGAGGGGCAGCCGCGCCACTGTCCCAGAAAGAGCTGAGGAGAGTCCCAGATGAGGGCTCACTCAGCAGCCGCGGAGCAGAAGCCAGGGGGAGTTGCAGTGATGCGCCCGTGAGCTCCGCCGGCAGCCAGCCGTGCCTGAGTGACCGAGCCCCAGGCCGAGAGGCCGGGGACACCCCACCTCCGAAGTGGCCCGAGCGAGCCCCAGGCTCCAGGCCCCGATAAGCGGCCGCCAAGGAGTGAGCCGGTGTGTACCTGGACGCCCATCCCCGGACACAAAGAACCACCAACGCACCGATGTCTGAGGGAGTCCGCCACTGGCAGGGGAAGTGGTGGTGTAATGCTATTTTCTTAATTAGCAACTCAACATGAAGACAACTTGACTCTACTGCTCAGCTGTGATGTCTATTTTGTCTGTTGCTGACTGTGCAGAGAGTGTATAGTAGAGTATGAGAGCTATGTAGAACAAAATTTCACCATGACAAGATTTTCAAAACTGAAAATCTTTTTGTGCATCTTCTATTAAAAATATTTTATATCAGATATCCAAAAAATGTAACACTGAAACCTATACAGAGGGATAATTTATGTTAAACACTAGGGCTGGGCCCTATCATACCGTTCACGGTAATACCGGTATAATGTTGGGCAATGATAAGAAAATGAAATATCGCGATAGAATATGGGTAAAGCGTGCATGCGCAGTGCCTTTGTTTTCATACGCACCTGGCAGAAAAAGCATGGCGGCGACAGAGAATGAGAAGGGCGAAAGTGGATCGTTGAATGAAACGATGAACCAGAATTGGTTTGTAAAAATGCTGTTCAGTGGTGTGGAACTGGTTTAGCTTTCGTCCGTCAGATACACAACAAAGCACTATTTTTGGTAGAGCATGCTAGCGGGCCGTCGTTATTACCGTGTTTTTTGGAAAATACGGCACACTTAAAATCAATCCTTTGATTTTTCTGAAAATCGACAGTGCGCCTTATGTATGAATTCTGGTTGTGTTTACTGACCTCGAAACGATTTTATGTGGTACACGGCGCTCGAAAATCTGTCAAATGTTTTAGTACGACTTTGCTAAGCTACGAACCCGCACCGCTTGATGGATTGTCGGAGCATTACGGCTATCGTAGGCAGGAGCCTCGCGGAGTGATACGTACTGTGCTTCAACATAATATTACCGTATTGTGTGTGTATAACCTCTTTTTAAGTTTTGTGGATATTATACATGGTTATGCTGAGGATATGTCGGCCAGTTTCCACTGGAAATGCCTTTTGGTTAAACTGTCAGCAAGGAATTTGCATTTGCACTGTTAATTTTTATATAACTTTAATGCACATAAAAAACAGCTGCTTGTTTAAGTGAAAATACATTGATGGGTTTTTTTTTGCACTAATAAAGTTGTGGAGTTGTAAAGTATTTTGTCTCGCGTCAGTTATATCGTTATTGCAAATTTCAAAATATATATCGTGATAAATATTTTTGGCCATATTGCCCTGCACTATTAAACACTTTCTAGCCAATTTGTTTAATACACACATCCAAATACTCATTAAAGCAAATATCATAATAAGAAGAATCAGAATCGTGTTTATTGGCCAAGTATATGTGCAAACACGGTTCCGGTAGATGGTGACACTCTCAGACAATCAATTAGATAAGATAAGATAAGATAAGATAAGATAAGATAAGATAAGATAAGATAAGATAAGATAAGATAAGACTTCATTGATCCCACAACGGTGAAATTTTTGCTTCAATTCAATGCATTTAGGCATAGTCAAGTCAAGACATAGTCAAGACAACCTGTTGAAGTTCAAATTGTCAAGGAAGGTTATTTGTGTGACTTGAATGTGGCATGGTTGTTGATGGCAGATAGGGTGGTCTGAGTATTTCACAAACTCAGACTCAGGATTTTTCCACATGACCATTTCTAGGGGTTACAAAAAAATGGTCCAAAAACATAAAATATCAACATAAAATATCAAATGAGCAACAATTCCCTGGCAGACAATGCCTTGTTGAAGACAGAGGAGAATGGGCAGACTGCTTCAAGTTAACAGGAAGGCAACAAGAACTACTTAAATAGAAAACAAAAACAATTGTAACAACCAAAGTATGGAGAAGAACATCACTGAATGCACTATACATCAAACCTTAAAGCAGATAACCTACCTACAGCACACTGGGTGTCATTTCTGACAGCTAAGGACAAAACAGGGTAGTAAGATTACAGTTCACGGGTTCACCAAAGATGGACAGTAGAGGATTGGAAAAACGTTGCCTGATACATGTGTCTTAATTTCTGCTGCAACATTAAAATAGCAGGATCCTAAAAAAAAACAGGAAAACATGGCTCCATTTGGCCTTGAATCAATAGCTCAAGCTCATAGTGGTGTTAAAATGGTCTGCTGGCTATTACCAGGTCCCTTATCTCCAAATGAGCATCAATTAAATGCAGCAGCCTACCAGAGTCTTGTTGCTGACCATATCCATCCCTTTATATCCACAGTTTTGATGGCTGTTTCCAGCAGGATAACACACCATTCCACAAACCTCAAATCACCTTAAACTGGTTTCCTGAACATGATAATGACTTTACTGTGCTCAAATGGCTACCACTGGCTTCAGATCTCAATAGAGCATTTTTGGGATGTAGTGGTACAGGAGATTCACAAATTGGCGCCAACTGTGTGATGTTTTCATGCGAATATAGACCAAAGTCTCTGACCAAAGTCGGGTCCAACATGGTACTACGAAAGTGAAATGTCCCATGAGCAATTTAGTTGTTTTAGTTGTGACTTGTTCATGGAGTACCCCGCCTCTAATCCAGTGACAACTGATACAGTTGTATCAGTTGTCACCGGATTGGGGGGGCAATTTTAAAAAAATATGCCATTTTTTTTCTGCATTAAACATCAACAAAAAAAACTCCTGTGCTACCGAAAGCTAAAGCAACAAGACCGTTATAGCAACAAAGCTCATTGTTTTAACACTACATTAACCAAGGGGGGAAAAATATGAAAACGCTATCTGCTCACTGCCGACAATTAACGAAGCAGCTGACACACTCGATGTGCCAGGCTGATAAGCTGTTTAGATCAACGACACGGCTTAAACCGCCGAAGGAACAGAGTTAAATGAACTTAGACGGCGTCTAGTTCGCTAGCTTGTTGGGAGCTAACTTGTTATTGTAGTGGCATGTATGTTTTTAAACCATGTTTCTTACAGCCAGAGGTGGAGTGACAGGGGCAAATTGATTGCTGATATTATGAAAACGGTAAAAAAAAAAAAAAAAAAGTGCTGTTATAATACTACTTGCTGTAAACAGGCTCGAGTGTTGCCTTACCTTCCCAGTACGTGCTGCTTCCTATTCCTGCCATCTTTGTTGTTCTGCGACGTCACCAAAATCCGGGTACTGTCACGTGTCAGCAGAAAACGTACAGGACGTACCGCACGACCGCGTCAGCCAATCAGCTACAACACAGCGTCACCTAGAGACCAGTAGCAGCCTGGGCAGAGTAAGGCTGTGTCCCAATTCAGGGTCTGCACGCTTGAAGTACGCATTTCAAGTGCGGTACGTCACCGCCACGCGACGACGGCTGTCCCAATTCGAAGTGTACTTCAAATGCATACTCCAAATGCGCCGTCGATTTCCCCAAATATCAAGCGTGGTCCGGTACACGCTTCGTGGTCCCATATATCCAACAATTCATAGCGCGGCGATGGGTGTGGATAATTTTGCCGCAAAATACGGCAGAAGGGAGCGGCCGAAGAGGGTTTTTTTTTTTCCAAACTTTATTGAACTTATAAAGCGAACAGTCAGTCATTCCAGTTCAGTTTGTACAGTAGACATACAAGGCAAATAAGAGTAACAATATACAGTACAATGAAATAAGAAGGATAAATAAATAAAGGATAAAAAAAGGGGGGAATGTGACAGACTTCATAACAACTTTGTACTTGAAAGTTGTGACAGCTCATACCTTAAACATTTCTGAATGAACTCCAATCAATGATAAACCTTTTTTATTGGAAGTTAATTTAAGAGAGTTTAAGTAATATTCAATTTCAATCAAAAACAAATTAAATGATGGGGTTGAGTTTTGAAATTTACAACCAGCAAGCCCTGATCACATGATCTCAGGGACCTGCTGGCGATGTATGGATATTAAAGATCTCTGATATATGTCGGTGCCTGTTCATCCAGAGCCCTTAATGTTAAAGTCATATTCTTAAAGTGGACTCTGAATTTAATGGGGAGCCAGTGCAGCTGGATCAACAGGTGTGTGACATGAGAGTACTTGGAAGACAAGGTCAGAAGCCTTGCAGCAGCATTCTGAACACCCTGCAGACGTTCCCAGGAGGCATTACATAAACAAGTGAACAAAGAATTACAATAGTCCAAACGAGATGAAGGAAATGCGTGTATGACAATTTCGAGTTCTGAGCATGACACAATGGATTCAGCTTTGCAATGTTTTTTAAAATATAATAACAGGAGCAAACCAGAGATTTAACATGAGCGTCCAAAGTCAGAGCTGAGTCAAAGTTTACTCCAAGATCCCTAGTAGAGGATTTGGCAAAATGTAGCAAGAGGACCTACATTTTCCATAACCTTGGGCACAAATTTATCGGAAGCACAAAGAAGGACTTTGGTTTTCTCCTCATTAAGTTGAAGAAAGTTATCAGCCATCCAACCTCTAATGGAGTCTATGCGCCTATGCAAAGTAGTTTGGAAACATCTTGGGGCTTAAAGGAGATATGCAACTGAATATCATCTGTATAGTAGTGATAAGAAATTCTTCTTAAGAGTGCTCAGAAGGTGCTGAAGAGAAAGCAATTACAACAACAAGAATAAAGGTCCCAAACAGGACCCTTTTGGCACACCTGGCTGTAGCTCAGGCAGGTAGAGCAGGTCATCTACTGATCGGAAGGTTGGTGGCTCGATTCATGGCTTTCCGCTAGTCTACATGCCAAATATCCTTGGGCAAGATATAAACCTTTTACATTACATTGGTGCATTCATGAATGCACTAACAGCTTGGGAAAAGTGCTTGTGTGAATGGGTGAGATTGAGTGAATGAATTAGTTGTATAAAGCACTTTGAGTGCTCAGAGAAGAAAAGCATAACCAAGTGAATCATGCACAAAACAGAGATTTGAATGGAAAACTGTTCTTGAAGTACACAGATAGAGAGAGGGTTGTGCAGGAAGTGCGATTTTTATTGTGGTGGAAGCAAAACAGCGAAAGTAAGAGGGAATTCATGATGGTATTTATTAAATGTGAAGTGTAGTTTTGATCTTCTTTTGCTGCTTGTTCAGTCAGTTTTGGTTGAAGAGTGACAAAACCTGCAGCTTCAGAATCTGTGAGATGTTGGCTTTCAGCCACAGCGGCATGTTGGGCGAGAAAGCTGACAACTCACAGATTTTGATGTGTTGGGGCTGCACTTTGTGTTTACATGTTTGTGTGGAATCTGTTTGCCTGCTCTCATTTGCTGTTTTAGCTGTTTGGTGGTTGTTGAAATAGCTTTAACCTGAGATTCTGGCGATTCTTACAAAATACATATTTATTCAAAAATCGATTCAGGATTTAATGAATCAATATCGCATTATTTAAGCTATAATTGATTTGAACTGGAAAATCTTTTTTTTTTAACCCACTCCTATGAAATATTCACACCAGGCCATCTGACAACAACAGCAATGCCACATTTATTCATCATTCTTCCTCGGTTTGGTTTCAGCAGGCTGTCTTGAGGATGTTTGCATGTCTAAGTGCTTTGAGTTGCTGCAAAAGGATGATTAGATTTGTGGATTACTGCAATGAATAGTGGAACAGATGTACCTAATAAAGTGGTTGCTAATTACATATAGCATGACTTTGCTGGTCTATACATCATGCTTTGTTCTCAGATTGCCTGATTGTATAAAGTTTTCAAAAAAAATCTACTCTACATTAGGCCTGTGTAACCAAGGTAACATCTGACCCCACTTCCGGAAATCCCTTTATTGTGGCGGGAATGAACTCTGCATAAGTTTTGGATCAATCCGCTGCATCTCCCATGCTCTCATCACTGCTGCTGCTTCTGTGGTTGGTGTGCTTGTCAGATATTGGATTGGAGGAGCACAGCTAAAAACTTTTAAATATTACTCTTTCTGGGTCACAAAATAAACTTTTAAGTTATTTTCAAGCAGAGGCAGAGCCAGACATTTTATACACCCGGGGCTTAGCCCTAAAAGGTAGTATGCATGTGGGATGGTGGGGTGTTAGAAATGACTGAAAGATTTATTTGGCTGTGTTTTGAGTTTTGTTCAAAAAAGAATGACTTCATATAGGAAAACAAATCACATATGCAGTACACCTTAAACTAGTTTGTTAATCAAGCAGCAAGGCAGAACAAAATCAAGACACGAGGACTAAACCGCAACTCAACCAGATCCAGAACTGATCGGGAATTAAAACAGGACTACAACAGTTCAAAATCAGGACTACTTTAGGACGTAACCAAAACAGAACCAGAATCAAAACTCTGAAAATCATCATAGACCTGCACTACACTTATTTTTTAATTCTACCAAAGAACACTATTTCGATTGAGAAGTTTATATAATTATTTAGCCTTGTTGTGCAAACAAGCCTGCATAAATTAATATAGAATTTGAAAAATAACAAACCTAAAAAGAAACACTAGGTACGAGATACACGTTCTGTTGAGTTTTGGCAAACAACCATGTGACTAACATGTCTGTCTCACCTGCTCTTGTTCCATCTCTGTTCTGTCCTCATTCTCTCTCTCCCTCTCCCTCTCTGTCCCTCTCTCTCTCTCTGCTCCTCTCTCTCTTCCTCCCTCTCTCTCCCTCTTTGTGCTGACAATCAAGCCAAACACCAACATCATCAAATATGCAGTTGAAACCAGATATTTACAAACTCTTCAGATAAAAACACAAATACTTTTTTAATTGTAACATCAAATCAGACTAAATGTTTATTTTTTTAGATGGATAAATATAAAAAACATATTTGTTAACTTTAAGAGTAAAGAGAGAAACGATCTGTATTCCTTAATTGCAAATGGCACCAAATTGTATCCAAAATTGAGCCACACTTATGCAGGTTCACAGTTCTTTTCCTGGTGTTTTGGTTGACATCTCTTGATTTTCCCATTTCAAAGAAACAGGCTCTGTGTTTTGCCTTATTCGCATCCACAGGTGTGCCACCAATTTACTCACATGGACTCTACTAACCTATCAGAAGCTTCTTCAGCTCAGAATGGAATCGTCTGCAGTTTTCTTATTAATTAACAATAAACTTAGTGTACATGTGCTCCTAAATTTGATAAAAGTGATAAAAAAAAATAGCTCTCTCTCTTTATTCTGACATTTAACTAATTCAAAAGATATTTCAGTATTTATTTATCTAAAACAAAAACGTTTACTCTAAATTGATGTTTAACAGTAAAAAAAATCTTCTTGTTTTTTCCATAAAGTGTATGTAAATTTCTGGTTTCAACTGTGAATATACTGCTGTGTGTTGAAATTCCTCTTGTTTTGCATACAGATATACTGAACAACATACTATATAAAATAACAATAGAAATAAGGGGCTTCTTTCAAAGAAAAAACTCAGGTAAATGTTAAGTTCATCAGTAAATGGTAAATGGCCTGTATTTGTATAGTGCTTTTACTAGTCCCCCCTAGGCACCCCAAAGCGCTTTACACACCCAGTCATCCACCCATTCACACACACATTCACACACTGGTGGAGGCAAGCTACAGTTGTAGCCACAGCTGCCCTGGGGCAGACTGACAGTACAGTACATACCTGAAACCAATTTAGAGTGCTTTATTAAGCCGTGGAGGGTGACAACTGAAAATATCAAATAAACACACATGTAAGCTAAGACTTTCTAAAAACAAACGGCATTGTTGTTCGGCTTTTCACTTCGCAATTTGTTGTTTCACTCGAGGAGCAAGTAACATAATATGGGTCAAGTGATCAGTTTGATATCAATCTTTTGTGATACACAGTCATATTTACATTATTTGTACAGTACGAATGATTTGCTTTAGTAACTGGTAGAATTGGATGTCTTGAGACTGGTCTTGGTCTCGACGGACTTTGGTCTTGGTGTCTCAGATCGACATAGTGGTCGGGAGATTTGGAGTCAATAGTACACCTTAGACAGGTCGCCAGTCTGGCGAAGGGCTAACACAGAGACACAGACAACCATTCGCTCTCACATTCACACCTATGGGCAATTTAGATTAATCAATTAACCTATCCCCACTAACTGCATGTGTTTGGACTGTGGGAGGAAGCCAGAGTACCCAGGGAGGACCCACACAAACACGGGGAGAACATGCAAACTCCACACAGAAAGACCCCGGCCTGATGGTGGAATTGAACTCAGAACCTTCTTGCTGTGCAGCAACAGTGCTAACCACCGTGCTAACCAATACTGTCTGTAGCTTTTGTTTTATACAGTTGTCAGTCAGGC